CAGAGCTGGAACATGCACAGGTGGGTCTGAGCAGGGCATGAAAGCACTCAGGGCTTGCTTTATTCTTGGGAGAATCTGTGTGAAAATCGTGCTTTTTTGCACCCTTCTAGACTCCAGTGGCCTGAATTACCCTGTAGTCACCCACCAGCCCTGCCGGGTTTCTCAGCTTGAGCCCCTAAGCCCAGGAGTAGGCAGGAAGGCCCCTGGGAGCATCTCCTGTCACCCGCAGGGGTACATGGGTGGAGCTGCTGTGAGAGCGGGGTTAGCGCTGTGCCTGGAAGCACTCAGGGCTTGCTTTATTCTTGGGAGAATCTGTGTGAAAATCGTGCTTTTTTGCACCCTTCTAGACTCCAGTGGCCTGAATTACCCTTCAGTCACCCACCAGCCCTGCCGGGTTTCTCAGCTTGAGCCCCTAAGCCCAGGAGTAGGCAGGAAGGCCCCTGGGAGCATCTCCTGTCACCCGCAGGGGTACATGGGTGGAGCTGCTGTGAGAGCGGGGTTAGCGCTGTGCCTGGGCCGCGCTGAAATCCCCACTCCCGCCGCTCGCTGTGTTTTTCCCGGTGGGATCGCGGCGGTTCCGCGGGACCGGCCCCGCACCTGCCGACAGGTGCGCTGGGCGCTGCTGCCCCCTGGCGGCCGCCGGCGGCCCCTCGGGACACCCCGGGAAGGGATTCCATCGGGAATCGGAGCAATTACCTGGCGCAGCTGGAGCGGGGGGGAATCGCTCTGAACCAATTCGGGTGAAGACATTTTGGATGGCTTAATTTAAAAGCAGCTATTCCAAAATTTAAGAAAATACTGCACTTGTCAAAACTTGGAATTAAGTGTGTATTCTGAGAGAAGACAGCTGTCTGACTTCCTTATTCTAGAACAAAAAGAGGTTTTTACCTAAGTGACCCATTCTCATATTCAGTTATCAATACATTGGCTTTTCCCTCAGTCGTTTCACAGGTTGGACTTCTTCACTTAATATGCTTAGAAAAGAAAAACTGTCTGTCTCTATTGACTTGCTTGGCAGTTACTTTGGATAATTTCCTATTTTATCAGACCAATATAAAACTCTAATCCTCTTTGTACAAGCAGTAACTGCCCCATCTAACTTTGTTTCATCTGCAAATCAGTGCAAGAGTAAACTTCATTTTTTTAATGCTCTTAACTATGGAACCCCCCAAAGCTGAACACAGACACTGGTGACTGCAGAGCCCTGGGGTGCCGCTGGACTGTGAGCTCTGGCTGCTCCTGCCAGCCCAGGAGCTATGCCTGGAAGGGGCAGGGGAACCCAGAGCTCAGCTTCTACCAGCTCACAGAAGTTATTCCACCTCATCCAGCCCATCCCATTCTCCAAACCAATAGGTCTCACTCCACTGCTCCAGAGGACAGCAAACCCACTCTGCTGTGTGGCCCCTGCCAGCTCTCAGGCCTGCTCTGTGCCTCAGTTTCCTCATAGCCCAGATGCCCTTTGCAGAGCCACCCAGCTTGATTTTGGGGGCTGCTAAAGCCACATCAGACTGGCCAGACTGACAGCAGCAGGGAGGAGGTGCCAGGCAGGGAGGGGGTGCCCCTGCCTACCCCACTCCATGTCCCTCATCAGGGGGACACCCAACCCCT